TTTACTCCATTTCCGCATTGTTGTATTTTCTGACTAGTGGATGAGTTCACCGTTTGGTTTCCACACCCAGAGCTGATTGTCACCTATTTTTATCTTCTTTCATTCCATCTATCTTATTAGTGTGTGTTTGTGCCTCTTATTCCAGTGGAGTGCGAAAGTGAAAACATCTTTGATGTCACTTCTATGTTAAGTAAGTAAGCAAGCAAAGTCATGCACCCGTGGCGTTCATCACAACAACAGGATGAAGTACGGAGCTGACATTTGTTATTGTGATTGAATAAACTACACAACAACATGGGAAATTGATTGTTTAAAAATAAATAAATAAATAATCCGCACTGAATGATGCATGGAGGTGAACCCCTGGTGAGTAAAATTTCTGTAAAAGTACAAATGTTGCGTCATTTTGTGTAAACAAGACTTTTTTCCCCTCTCCATTTTCTCAAAATTGCTGTATTGTGATGCGAATGTTATTTTTGTCCAAATATTCCAATAATCTTGTATTGCAAGTGACTCGACCCACATTTATCTCCTTATAGTAAGGCATGCAGTGCATGCTGTGAGAAATTATTCTTTGTCAATTATATTGACAAAAAATATACACATAGCCAAACCAATGCAGGTCACCTGAATTTCACAGAGCGTTGTGAAAAAGTGGACAAAATGAGCATGGAAACGTACTGATTGATAAGCAATAGACTTTGGTGAAATAAGATCAGTTGACCCACACCACACACATGGACAAACTCGGCCTCCGGGGCGATATAGCCCATCCCCACATCGACCTAAAAGCCACACCGTGCCTTTGATCAACATACATTGTCAAGGCACACTGGGTGACCTGTGTGTGAGCGAGGCACAAGAGGGGGCTGGGAGGTCCCAACCTGAAGTGCGGTTGTGTTACTTCCTGCCCTCTTAAGCTCTGACCCAGGGAAACTCAGCCAAGGAGCCTTGTGTTTAGATGACCCTCAACCTCTGATGCGCCCCTCCCCTTCTCCCTTTCTATTCGTTCGCTTTTCCACTGCTTCGCTCTTCTTTTCACTGCTGCTTTCCCCCTTGAACCTTAACTATAAACTAACACTTGTCCATTGGACCTGATCATCAAAAGACCACCAACCGGAATGGGTGTGTGTGTGTGTGTGTGTGTGTGTGTGTGTGTGTGTGTGTGTGTGTGTGTGTGTGTGTGTGTGACACACCAAACACATTCCTGAAAGGTCTCCATAGCAGCAGAAATCCTTGATAGCATGCTTTGAACCTGAGTTGGGTGGGCAGGTCACCGGGTTCGCCCACAAAGGGACACCGTGATGGTCCCGCCGTCTGTTTTATGCACATTAGGATTCTTGTGGTGTGCAATAAAGATCACATGCTTGCTCAACATGAGACTGGGCAGAGATCGGCACTAAAAGCGACCCTTGCTTTTTCAATTGTAAACATCCCCAAGATGCATGCTAGTTGGCGGGACACACACACACACACACACACACACAAACAAACTGAAACATGAGATAAAGCTGAACAAAATATAGCTTTGACTCTGGTCTTGAAAAATCATGCTGCAAATAACAAATACACACACACACACACACACACACACACACGCACACACAGGCAATATCTGCAGGAATGTATGTCAAACACTTTGTTTAATTGTTCTTGCAAGATTCCACACGCACCTCTTGGACAGCATGTTTACTGTGGAATTGTTACTTTAAGTCATAGGAGAGCATCATTTACAAGTAGACCGACTGTTTTATCAGAGTCAAGGTTTTGTCTCGTGTCTCACAAAAGTGGAACAGCATAGGTCAAACATAATGCATTCTGGGACTGTGATGAAAGTCATATTTGTTCAAATTTTAAATCCAATTTTCCCGCATCGGAAATAACGAAAGATAGATTATGATTTTGAGAGCCAAACTGTTGCCATCGTAAAATATGTATGAATTATACAGGCAGCGCTTCCACTATTTCACAGTTCTCAACTAACAGGCGGGTATAAAATAATTAAGTTAACCGTTAATAATTGTCAAACAATTTCAAAAAGAAAACTCAGTCTTAAATGTATTGAAGATGATGTACAGCAATATGAATAAGATAAGATAAAATAAGATAAGATAAGACAAGAAATCCTTTATTAGTCTCGCAATGGAGAAATTCACAGCAGCAAAGTTATGAAAGGAAGAAGTAGAAGAACAAACTACAGGAGCTGCTGGAAAGGCAGCCACTCTCGCGGGCGCCCTCTTGAAGTCAAAATAACACAGCACAACACATAAGACACAGACAGTCGTGCAATCTTCCATCACTTTTCCTGCATACACTTTGTTGTTTGAAGCCGTTATAGATGTAAGAGGAGAGGATCAAAGTGTGAATGTGAGTAGCGTTGTAGCTACACCATCATTTAATTGTCGCACAGGCCAAAGCTAAAGCCAAAGAGCAAAACGCATGGCCAGGGATAATTTTTTGATGTTATGATAATGTGCTGAACTGTGATGTTTTGTTGAAGTGCATTTTCCCCAAAATTATAACATTTGATAGGTATGGCCAAAGTATGACAGCATACTTTTTCCTTATTCATGCTTGGGAACATGCCTGCTTCTCTGATAGCAAAGCATAATATTTGCTGCTGTTGAATCTTTGCATTGGAGTTCACATGCCTGCCCTCCACACATTTCACCGCAGTTCTCTTTGGTTCTGGAGGGTTTTTTGGCTGCAATCAATAAATGATGCGGAGGGAACAGAGTGTGTGAGCGACCTTATGCGGCCTGTCTGCATCAGCGTGTTTGACAAAAGGATGTCAGTTGTACCAGTGACAGCCCCGTTGATGTCAGCAGTGTTGTGAACAATACTAGTTGATGTGCTGCAATCAGGCTTGGAGTGGCAATAACCACAAATCTAACGGTCACAGAAGCCTCTTTGGTAAAAAGAAATATTTGTTTTACTTTGACAGCACCTTGAACACATTTCATGAGAGTATTTCTTTTATTCTATTCTTACCTGTATATATTGGGTTATATTATAAACAATTGTTGTACATGACCATTTATTCCACATATTCATGCAAGTAAACATGCCTTTTGGATTCACGATCTTGATAAAGGTATTTGTTTAACAATATGCTCATTACTGTAATGTAGCATACTGAGCAGTCCTTCTAATATTTGACCACATAAGGGGGTCAAAATATCAAAAACGCATTTGATGCATCTTTTGCGTGAGATTTCAAAAGATGTGGTGGTGTACGTAATGTTGGGGCCCCTTAGTGTATTCAGAGACAATGAAGCCATGACATTTTTTTAAATGTTTCCATTAGGGCCAGGACTTTAGTGTGTTATTAATTACAGAAAAAAAATGTTTCAGCACGCACACACACACACACACACACACACACACACACACACACACACACACACACACACACACACACACACACGCACAGACTACATTTAATTACACTTTTACATCAGTGCCCCAATTTCTGGCATGCCACTAACACCAATAAAAAAGACGAGTGACATCAACGCACTGCAACATACAAAAGATATGATGAATGAAGTGAGACCACATTTCTTGGCCTGCTTGATGGAAGGTTTATTTGTGGAAGAAAATGCCTAATAGAAGAATGGAGAAAAGCATAGCTGTGTGCAAATTGCGCAGGCATGTGAACAGATAAGATCCAAAGAGCTAAGACGTCAAATTTATTTTTTTAAAAAACTGTTGGAATAAACCTGACACCTTTTACTATTTTCAAAGCAGAACCATTTGACTATTCATTTTATTCAGATGTGTATTCACTGTGGGTCTGCCATCTGACATTATTTGGCTTCTATTCTTAACCTTTGACCCCACTGTCAGACAATGATGCAATTAATAAAAATGTCTGCATGTTATAAACACCCCCAGCAGTGATCTTATGGCCCTATCTCTGCTATGACTACAAAATATATGTATTAAATGATCATCTCAGTGCTTTATTTTGGTTTTTTTTTTAATTTCATGTGCTCAAAGTGCTAATTGACATCAGCGGGTTACTTTTTCATAGAGCGTCCTGCCAGACAAGTTGAGGCTTGAACAATGACTCGTCTGATGCATGTCGGCCAAAGAAGACTCCTCCAGATCTGTCGGTATGCATCCAGGCAATTACTCTTTTATACATCAACTGCTCACAGTTTATAACGGGCAAGCCTGTACTTTCCCAAAGAACAACTTTCATGTCCACTGCTTTGACAGCATCAATATTTCTCCTGAATAGGGCAGCACACCTGCGATTGGCTGGCAACCAATTCAGGGTCTACCCCGCCTACTGCCCGAAGACAGCTGGGATAGGCTCCAGCACGCCCCGTGACCCTTGTGAGGATAAGTGGATCAGAAAATGGATGGATGCATGGCAGCACACCACTGGTCTTATTTCTGACAGCTCAGGTTGCCGTTTGTGCAGGTAACTTGTGCTGCTTGCAGTGAGGTTTGATTTAAAAATCACTGACACGCAAGGTGAAAGTTTTCCTGATTGCCAATCTTAACTATAAAAAAGTAATCAGGATGCTTTTTTTTTGCACTTTAATTTTTTGTGTAGCGTTTTGTAAATAAATAAAGGCTTAATTTTTCAATCAATTTAAATACATGTTATTTTATAAAATTACATTACAGCACAGCTTTTAAAAAATTTACCTTTGCTTCTAGACAAGAAAATAAACGTTATCGATACACACAATATGAAATTAAGAAATAAAAAATTGTTGACTATACATTTTAAAAAAGAAACCCAATTGTTCATTCATTATAATGTCATATTTTTATTACTTTTATTACCCCTCATGAAGTTGTTGATTAGCAAGACTCTGCAAAGAAAATAAACAAATTCCAGCTTTGATGATATATACATTATAAATACATATAAAATTCAGCATTAGTAGAATTTATGGATCAGACAGAGATGACAGTTATTATTGATGCAGGAATGGGGGAACGAAGGCGGCCGCTGGGCCCCGTCAACCTGCAACTTCTTCCGGCCACCGCTAGACGACTCTTCTCTTGTTCTTGAATCTCAAGCCCGGATCTCGAGTCCCACCTCCAGCAGGTTAGGAGGCGGGACCTGTCCCGGCAGAGGAGAGGCAGCATTGCACAGCACAGCAATTCCTCTCACAGCTGAGCTCCCTTCGCTGTGCTCACTGATCGAGTAGTGATCTCTTTGCTTTGCCAAACGGCCTCAAGGACACAAAGAAACGGCCGGACATTTGATCGAGACAAAGCATGAGAGCGGCGGAGGCATCAGAGAGACACGACGAAATTTACCCGGACTACCGTTTCATCTGCGCGCATATATTGCGGAGCTCTCCAACCGTGCTCCGCCGATGTGTTCACCGGTTGTAACCTACCAAAGAGCGCCGACATCTGAGTGGTGGGAGGACTTTATCTCACAGGTAGGGGAGTACAATATTTTCTTCATTTTTAGGCGAACCCACGACGTTGAAGGGACATTCGACGTGGTGCGGTTGCTGTTTAGGCATATAGTCACGACCCGCGTAGGCCGTAAAGAAGCCTCGTGCCAATTGAATAAACGTTTCTTAAATGATGAGAGGAAACTTAGCTAGCAAGCTGGATGAAAGCGCCTGGTGCAGTGGTGTGGCGGTCTTTTTCCGCTGTTCCGCCGCAGTGGATAAGTGTGTGTTTGTGTGTGTGTGTTTGTGTGTGTGTGCGTGTGTGTATGTGTGTGTGTGTGTGAGAGAGCGTGTACGGGCGCGCGCGATGGCCGACGTGCAAAGTTGCGCGGGGGCAGCGACGTCTACACTGCACGTAGCCGACCCGGAGCTGCGTATCGGACTCCAGTGATCAAAAATACAACGTCCCGGGAGAGCGAGCGAGAGAGAGAGAGAGAGGGACAGAGTGGGGGTAGTTATAGTTCCTTGCCACGGCCTTGATTTGCTCTCTTTCTTCGAGGCACAAGACCGATTTTTGCTAGGCACCCAATAACGTTCGAATAAAAGCGCCATTATGCAATGATCACAAGATAAACGAAGTCGGTGACAGTGACTTTATCCACACCCCCTCACGCGGATTAGGTCATCTAGTTTTCGCTTCCGTTGCTGCGCGTGAGTCGCTCTTTTTTCCCAATTATTGCTCGTACGTGCCCGACGCAGTTAGTATGACGTTATTATTCAAGTGCGATCCACTTGGTTGTTTCACAGTCATGTCGCAGCTGTTAAATACAGTATAGGTTTCGTTTCAGCACATTGACGGTGCCGGCTCTCTTTCCAGGAAAGGAAAGGAAAGGAAAGGCGAGTTTTGAGTCAGCAGCGAAGAAACATATTATTCCTTGCTTTATACGCCAAGATGACTTCACCTTGTGAAAAGGCTACGATATTCTAGGCATTACCTTTGATGACTGCCCCTATCAACTCTTTTTCCCCCCCAGGACCGCCAAGGTTTAGGTGTGGAACATGGATAAAACTTTGCACATTCTACAGAAATCCACAGACGGTGTACGGACTGGGATCGCCTTGAATGTGAGCTTAAATGTGGATGAAGGGGAGGACTTCAGAGAGCACTCAATCGTGGGACTCTCGGACAAAATACCTTTGGTGAAACCTTATTTCAAAAAGAAGCAGAGGAAACTAGATGCCAAATGCCTTCACCGCGCCTTGGAGGAGCCCATCCTGACCTCTCTGCTCAGCGGCGACATATCGGGGGACGGCGTGTTTGTGCCGCGTAGTCAGGCTGGACGCACGCCGGGGAACCTTTGTGCGGCGGTCGCGGCCAAACAGAACTGCATCCGACCAGTGTGTGGCCTCAAAGACTCGCCGTCCGCCGACGGCGCCGCAGCAGGGACCGGAGATGTGGAGATGGCCGATACGACTGTGGAGCTGGAGGAAATGGAGCGCAGAGGGGAGCGACCTAAGGCAGGCCTCAAGGCTGCAGGGAGCACAGGGACAATAACGTCAGCCAGCAGGGACGTGCCTCCCATAGTTGCCCCTCAGGCTTCTCGTCAAGAGGGAGCCATCAAAAGTAATGACTGCTCAACTCACCCAAATCCCCTCCCTGTGAAAGACTACGGTGCCCTCCAGGACAGCCACCCCCTACTCGTGCAAGCCCAGCTGCCTGACAATCGAGTGCTTTTTCAGGACAAAAGTGAAGAGGCCTCTCTGGACTTGGTATTTGAGCTGCTCACCCAGCTTCAGTATCACACACACCAGTCAGACTCTGTGGACATTTGTGTGGATTTCCTCCAAGGACAATGTGTGTACGGCAGTGATTGCGCTCACCACCACACGGTCCTGCCATACCACTGGCAGATCCGCAGGAGCGACACTCAGACGTGGCAAAGCATCGCAGATGAATCCCAGGAACAGCTGGAGAGACTCTACTGCAACCCAGACAATGACCAAGTCAGACTCAAGTACCAGTAAGTGTCAGTCCCACATTCGTAGTATTTTTAAACCTTTGTGTGTTTTTGTCAGATGTTTTTTGTTTTATGATGGCTCGGGTTTTCACTCAAGAAGTTGCCCTTTACGTTTTGTTGACAATCGACACACACTGACAACATAAATGTTAGGAACAAAAAATACCCAATCTAAAATCTTGTTTTATCTTAATTTTTCAGATCTATATACAGGGTCAAAAGCTGCAATGTTAAATTAAGTTTCAACCACAAAAAGCTGTTATTTTAAATGATGTTTTGCCGACATGTAATTGACAATTAACAATGACAAATTAGCTTGTTGTTGTTGTTTGCCTTTAGGCTGAGTCACTCCTAGTCAGGGGTCGCTGCAGAGAGTTAAATGGATCACTAGAGACTCGTATAATGCAGTTAGTTGTTGCTTCACGAGATACTGTCGTGTTGTAAGTATTTCTAGAGGATTCCGTATGGTAAATGGATCAGTGCCAATGTCATGACGACAATGGCGCTGCAGTAAGCTGATAGGCTGCTTATAGATGATAAGCAACTTCTCATTCATTGTGTTGGAAACACGACACTTGTTCCTCCTTGGTTTCACCAGCGCTGACAAACACGGGGCTGGCATGCACACGTTGGAGTGCAATTGTCCTTCTCATAAAAAAAAAAAATAATGTGGGTTTTATTTCATACACGCATGTGTAAAATATAGCATTTTAAAATCTGTCATTATCAGTGAAAGGTTGTTTTTCCGTTGTCGTGTGCAAAAGTAATCTATCGGCTCCTCACCATATGACTTCCCATCTCCCCACTGTGATATTTGTGATTCATTTCCTGTAAGTCAGCCCTCTGCTTGGCTGCAGCTCTGTCCTAAGCAGACTTTAGAGCACTCATGGCAGAGCGTGGTGAACTTCTGTGACCCCCTTGTGCGGTCACTGACACAGCCGCACTTGGCAGCTTCTATCCCTCCCTCGGTCATAGACATGCACACAATAGAGCACACACACGCACACTCACACACACCCGCTCACTCCCTCTCTCTCTTTCTCTCTGCTCGCACGCAGATGCTCACACGAATGAGAAAAGAGAAGCTCAGTGGCTCGCAGCTCTCACACGCACACAGTTTAGCAGACAGAGATAAACCGCTCTTTCACTCTCCTCTCACACGCCCTCAAAGTTACCCGCACGCACACACACACATGCGAGCACTTGGCAAACCACGGTGGGGTGACATAAAGGAGCATGCCGTTTCCTGCGGAACTGTACTGTATGCATGCATAGTCACACACAATGAGACCATGCAACGGTGACCTTGTTCTAAATCGGAAAAGTAGCTCTAAGGAGCAGTTTACATGAGTTTTGCCTTGTTAGTTCATATTCCTTTGTGTGCTGTATGCAGCAGGAACAGTAGATATTTAGTTAGTTTCGCTACACCTCCGCAATATGAGCACGGGAGGTACCAGAAATGGATATATAAGGCACTGTGGTTCTGTCTCACTCCTACATCAATAATCAACGTGTTCATTGTGTGAATGATGTGAAAAAGCGAAAAAGTATCTTGTTGATCGAAATGTGTCAAACGAGAAAACCACACTTGTAAATTACCAAACAAATTTGAGCCCTTTCTTCAAGGTGAGATCCACATCGCCAAGGGTTTTCACCATGTTACCATTCTACTCTCCGTTTGTCCACATCCACTATACCACTTCACCACATCACCCGGGACCAGTCATACAAAGACGGATTAGGGGATTAGCGGAGGAACTTAATGCAGGGTTTGCAATGTTAGGCAGGGTGTGCACTCAAATCAAATGATATACTTGTAAACAGGTTTCTGTACTCTACACTGTACAGTCAATATGATTGATTAATCAATGACAATTCTTGAAAGATGCTCAGTGTCTTATTGGAATGTCAGATCCTTTGGCTTCGCTAAATCCCCGCCGTACACTGAGTGATGTGGCCGTAAACAACTGATGAAATGGACTATGACGCAAAATCAGGAGATTGAACATCGTTCATGTTTAGCAACTCGCTGCAATGGGGGGAAAAAAACTGTGTTCCTATCAGCAAACAGTATTTTGAGGTACTGCAAATAAGTATTTTTGATTGAGCCTTAATTCGGAGAGTCTGAGACGGGCAAACAAACCAATGCCCTGCTGTCAACCATTCATGATAAGCAGTTGCCGAACTGCACACGCCGCCTGACAGTTCAGTCGGTTTTGATCACGTCGGTCAGTGCGCTGTGGGTCAAAAGAGCTTCTTTTGTTCAAGAATGTAGCGCTTCATCATATGAACCCCAGGCACAACTTGAAGCCACTGTGTGCCTTTGACTTGAACGACCACATGCAGATTCAACTCTGCCTGTATGCACGACGATTTATATCAAGAGTTGTTGACTTCAACCGAAGCTCTATGCAAAGTGCTCTTCAAACAGGATATGCACCTGGTGATGTCAAACCAAATTGGGCTGTGAGTGTCTTCCGCCCTCACACAGCCAGACAGGCTCAGCTGGCTCCCGTGACAGAAACTGTACATGCCACAAAGGCAAATAAAATGTACTCTTTTATCATTCGCAATCATCGCTCATCTTTTCTTAATGCTGCACACGAATGCAACTCCACCGCACTAAACGACGGCCTTGAAGTAAGGGGCCCTGGCCTCGCACCGCTCAATGGAAGCGGTGCACATCATCGGTAATGCACATTGAGCAACAGAAGCAGTGTGCAATAGAGTTGTTTTAAATGATCAAATTAATCGATAACATCAATTAATCGCCTAGATGAGTGACTCTTTTTTTTTCTGGATAGCTGCTTCAATACCAGTGTCTTAGCGAGCATATTCTTGCGACCCATCGGACTAGCTTAGCAGATGTCTTCATGAATGTAGCTCAGGTCATGTTTTGCAGGTATACTTGGCTGCCTATCACACTCCATTTTGCCTCAGTCGCTTAAAGCTCAATTAGTCACTAATTATCCACACAATTGACAAAAATTATTCGTGTTTAACTGTTGAATTGACAATCAGTCAACTATTTTGCCCATCCCTGGTAGGAGAGTGCAAGTGACTCTAATTGTCCTTAAAAGTGCACCGACATGCTTGCCGACAGTGACGTCGCACGCCAAAAGGCCTAAAAAGAAGCCAGAAGAAGGCAATTTCAGCCTTCAACCTTGAAGAATCTAAACACCGCATTCTGATGAATATTACGCTTTTGCAATGTGCATCAAAATCCACCTGTTTTTCCATCTCTTTCCACTTGTTGTCAACTGAAAATGACATCAGAGAGTGCAGAAGGGCTTAGCTTGCGATTGTCACGTGACCAAATCCAGAGAAGGTTCAACTGTGATTGCTCGTCACTTGAGCGCTCAGGCGCCGTCGTGTTGACAGGTAGTGGGTCACTCCATTTTTTTTATCTTGTATTTTATTTTATTTTTTTTTAGCCCAACCCCAGTTCTGGTCTACTCACCAATGGTTCTGTCAAAGCCTTTTTTGCTGCGCTCGCCGGCCGCCACATCTCTTTGATGTTGTTCTATCGCGGCTTAATCTGACCGCTATATTCATGAGAGCTTGCACATACCCATGCACTGGGTGATCGGTTACCTGAGTCAAATGATACGATCAATAGCCAGCCCAAGAGCACTCGCTGACTTAACAAGATTGACCATCATTATACCCTGACATGTTTTGTCGTCTACTCTGTGGATCCAGCTCTTTGCGTTTCTGATTTTTATTATTTCGCCTCAACTCAACTGTATTTAAAGAGCACTTAAAATCAACCACCGCTGTATACAAAGTGCTGTACATGGAGCAGATATCATACATACAATAAAACAATAAATTGATCATGAAGACAGGAGAAAGCACAAAAACAGTCAAACTCAAATCAAGTCTGAGTCATGCTGAGTCAAAAGTCAAAGAATACAAATGACTTTTGAGATGAGATTTAAAGACGGGAAGTGTTAGTGTGAGTTCTGTGCGACAGTTCCCATGTGTGAATTAACCACAGCGCAGGTAAATCCCGTCCATATGATGAACAGGAATGAAGGCTTTGCTTATTCCGCCTGAGTCATGAAGTCAACGCTGAGCGGGAATGCTGCTGTCATCATTTCTAGAAAGACAAGTTACACTGCAGTAATCCTCAACGGTCCAGTTGTTGGTTAACTGCTCCATACTGCTGAACACGAGTTTTTATACGCAAGAAAAGGTTTCTGTACTTTCTGTAATTCAACCCACGATTAGAACGCGCTTTGCGGTGTTAGATTTAGAAAACAGAATGTCTCAAGCCCATTTCCTCTTCATATGTGTGTGTGTGTAATCAGGGCATGTTTTCGGGCTTGAAAGACAGCCTGCAAATTCTTGCATGACCTTGTGACAAAGCGCGCCTATGTGTGGGTGTATGTCTGTGTGTGTGGGTGTGTGTGGGTGCGAGCGTGTGTTTGCGAATGAATAAATGAGTGCTCACGATAGGGCTCCTTTGTTAGCCAGGTGATAAAAGGTTTGCTTGTCATTAACTGACATTAAGTGTCGCGGAGGACTAAGGGCAAAGTGACCTGACATCACATTGTGTGTGTGTGTGTGTGTGTGTGTGTGTGTGTGTGTGTGTGTGTGTGTGTGTGTGTGTGTGTGTGTGTGTGTGCGTGTGTGCCTGCTCACGCATGCGTTCATCTTTATGTCAATTCAGATTGACTAATTTTGTGTCGTGAATTTTTAACACCCATCTTTTGCGTTTCTGCTGTTGTGATTGTGTGAAAACATGAGCTCTGTGCGCGCGTGTGCGTGCATGTGTGTGTGTGTGTGTGTGTGTGTGTGTGTGCGTTTACACATACTTGCATTCCATGAATCAGCAGGGTGAGGTCAGGTGTTGCTCTGCCTCTTTGTTAGTCACGAATAGGGATGGTTATTCAAATTAATATCCTTGGTGGATGTTCAAAAGGTGGATTTCCATAACAATTCTTTGTTAATATTCTTAAACTATAGTATTTCATCTTGTTGTCAAAGCCACAGAACACAATAGTTTGACTTAGTGTTGCAGTTTCCTCTGCAGCGTGTTTCTTTCTTTCTTTCATTCTTCAGAATGTTCTGTCAATCAAAATAGTCCATATGAACAAAATTTCTTGTGAAAAAAAAATCTGTGAATACTTTGGTCATGCTCATCCCACACATCTTCCATGCCCCGTTCATTTGTGATCCTGAAAGGGATGGCTGAGATGTCTGTCTGTGTTTTCACGATCAACCTTTGTATTGGTCTCAGCTTCTTCATGTGGTGGGTCTCTCTCTCTCTCTCTCTCTCTCTCCTGGCAGCATCTGAAGCTGATTACGTTCTCGCTCTGCACCCTGCACCTCTCACATTTTGTACCTCGAGCCTCTGCCTCTTGAAGTCCTCAGAACTGAGTGAGGGAACTCCCTGAACCATATGCAAAATGTTTGTAGGGTAGAGCAGAACAAGGGGAGTTAAATGAAACTTCGTGGTGGGGGGAAACACTGTGATTCTCTTCAGAACATGCATTCATAAAACATTTTCATAGCTCAACTGGACAACTTGAATCAACATTTACAAGACGTTAAACCATCAAAATTGCGAAAGCACACACGCATGCAGTAATAAGCGAAATGCGGCTACAGTGGAACTTGCAAGTTTACTGTGATACTCACTACGTTCATAAAAACGTACTGAAACCATCAAAATGTCACAGGTTGTCACTGTCCAACATATTGTTGACAGTCAGGTGGTGTTTACACAATTCTCGCAGCACACAAGCAATGTTTAAAACATATACCTTCGGCAGAGGTTATAAAAATGTGTCCTTTTCGAAATTGAGCTCCAACAAATTGAAAACCATGACATCAGTCTCGGTGTGTGTGTGTGTGTGTGTGTGTGTGTGTGTGTGTGTGTGTGTGTGTGTGTGTGTATTCTTGTCTGAAAGGAGCATTCGTCAACAGATCTTATCAATGAGGTATATTTATCGAGGCATGACTGGATGAGGCTAGCATGTGTGTACATGACCCTGTCTAAAGAATGTATGCGAGTGAGCTCTCCGTTTTTT